ATCCATTTTATGCAGTTAAATTTTTATGTTTCAAAAAAGAAAAAGAAATAAATAAATACTGTAGCAACTATATTTTATAGAATAGTTCTACAAGTCTGATGTACAGGAAAAATAAAAAAACAGCATGATGAAAATAAAACGATTATTGTCTTAAGCTTTTAAAATTAACGGGTTTTTTTTTCTTTTCGTCCCGCGCTAATATTATAATTACTATTATTTTGTTTAAATACGATTATATTTTATTTTAAACCAAGTCACTGATCTGGAAAAATAGGTCTAACAATAAATCCCACTGTATCACGTGACTTTGCTTTTGAACAAATGCATTTTATATTTATATACAAATTATTCTCAAATACCTAGTCCAAATCATTTGTTCGGTAAAAAGCGATTTAGCCGTGCAATAATACAGTTTTCTGAACTTAATTCGCATACGCGGAACACATCGGAACGAACGAAAGTCAACAATTCATATGCGTAAGGCTTAAGGAGTTATGAAATGCCGGAAAATCGTTGTCTCGGCCAAGATCTTGAGGTTGAGAACGCTAAAATAGAACAATATCAGTTAATGGCATCCGGGATTGCATCCGAAAATGCATACGTCGTCATTCACTTCGGTTCCATATTGACGATGGAGTCTTGAACGTCATGCCCCTTGCTCCGTTCTAGATTTTTTGTTTTCACTGAAAGCGTTTGGTTTGAATTGCGTTTTACGAAAGTTACGGATTCGTTTCGAACGCACAAAAACCTGAAATGTACTCATACTTTATCGCAGGGGTCGGCAACATTTCTAACCATACGGGCCATATTTTTTTTTTCAATTTTTTATCGAGGGCGGCATTAATAAAAAAAAATTCTACATATGACAAAATACTAATAATTTTATTTCTATTATATTTAGTTATTTTACATGGAAATATAAGAAAAATTACAGAAAAAATTTAATTAAAAAATATATATACAATTTAGTTGCTAGTGTGATTTTTGAGGTTGAATTTTTCCTGCTAGTTCATTTATATCCGCTTTCGGATATTATTCCGCATATTGTATGTTGATATTCTTAAAACTTCATCCATATGTTTGTCACTTAATCGTGAACAATATTTATTTTTTCTCAATTTAAGTATTGAAAATGTTTGCTCACAAATATAAGTGCTACCGAAAGCAGTAATTATTTTTTTAGCAAAACATTTAATGCGTTTAAAATCTATTCCAGAAAGACGAGTAAAATAGTTTTAGGTCATTACTTTCTTTAAATGATTTTTAAGAACATCGTTGTTTTGCAATTATTTGACTTCGATCTGTAAATTAGATTCAACATCTTAATGTCAATAAAAAAAGGGTTTTGAAATATCTTGTTTCTTTTCTTTTGTACGTAAAAAATACAAAATCGTATTGAAAATTTATTTTGTAGATCTTCAATGATATTTAAAAAATTAATTTTTATAGTGTCCTAATATAAAGTTGATTTGGATGATTCTAATACAATTTTACAACATACCAAATGATCCAAGCGCTGTTAATTAATATGCTTGTGTAATAATTTTAATGTGCCAAAGTATTTTTACATATGTAATTAGCCGTCAATACTATAATATCCATTACATTTTTCCATGCTAAAACTTTGCAACATAATGCCTCTTGATGTATGATGCAATGAAATATCATAGGTACTTCATATCTTTCTTCCACCATTTTTGTATTTATTTTCCCAATTAATCGTTTTTTTAAGTTACACTAATTAGTCATTCCCAACAAATTAAATTTTTTAAATGTTTTGTCAATTTCTAAAAATAGATCTTCTTCCGTAGTAGTTTCCTTCAACCAACATAGTTCAACCAATTCTTTAGAAACGTTAAAATTAAAATCAATTCCTCCAATAAATATTAATAACTGAGCAGTATCATAAACATCAGTACTTTCGTCAGTTGCGATAGAAAAACAATCAAATGTAGAAACTTTTTCTTTCAGTTTTAAAATTAAATTTTCTCCTAACTTTTCGGTATGTCTAACACATATCCTAGCTGAAAGACTGATGTCATCAAATTGATTTTTTTTCTTGGGGCATATTTCATTTACAACGGCTAACATAAATTTTTTTATAAACTCAGAGTCGTTAATAGAGACAATTGCACTTGGCTATTATTTCAGCAACTACAAAACTAGCACATACTCCTGATTCGTTTTAATTATTTTGCAATTTAAAACTATTTTGTTGATTATTTAATGAACTTTTTAAATTATTTATTTTAATTTGTCGAAGATCACCAGTGATATTGTCAAATTTTAATTTATGCTATGTTTCATAGTGACGTTTAACATTATACTCTTTTACAGATAAAATAGTTTTTTGGCAAATTAAACAGAACAGTTTACTTTTATTTTTGATAAAAAAATATAAATCCGTCCATGATTCGTTGAATGTACAACGTTCATCACCAATTTTACGTTTTTTTGACATTGATAGTTAAATTTATAAAACACTAGAACAGTTAAAATTTAAACTTCACGGTTTTTATACGATGCCTTGGACGTTATTCGTTGGAATGATTCAAAACGAACTGCAATAAGACTATAACTGGCATAACCAGATTTGTTGTAATCAACAATATATACTATACATTATATACGATTAGATTACGACCTAGATTACGTTCTCCCTCATACCTTATCTCACTTTAATATTCACGATTCAATTTTATTTATTACAATTTAAGATATATTAAAATTATATTAAAATTTTAAACACCATGAAATATATTTGGAGGGCCGCAGAAAAAAGTTCCGAGTGCCGCATGCGGCCCGACTTGCTTTATCGGATTGAAATCGTTGTAAACGAATCGAAGTTTAAAATCCAAGTTTATTATAAAATGAAAAATATTGATAGTCGATTTCAACCAAACAACCTAAACGAATTGATTATCATCGTAGATTATTGTCGAGTTTCCGTAGTACAATAATAAATCCAGATATAATAAATTTATCGATGCAAATGAAATTGAATTCCCGGACAATACTACTTCTTGTACGTGCTTTGATTATACTAGCAGAAACAAAATTAAATATAGTACAGTATACTGTAGAGTTGTACGGGTAAACAATACGATCAGATAATTTAAATATTTCAAATAAACAGATTACCGTAGACGAATAAACCCGATGACAAGATAATAATTACGCATTCCATTCAGTGTAAAAAAGTGGTAAAATATTACCAACGCGTATTTCATTTCTTCAACCATTATAAAATCGTTCGATATGTCTTGTGTAATTTTTCTAATCTGTCTTCAGAGAAAATTTAACCGTAAGACAACACAAAAAAAGTTGTAAGTCGAGGGGAAGATCTCGTCAATGCAAACATGCGTGTATAACCCCGGTATGACTTTGTGTTCGGATAAAAGGATTTTAAACGTTAAACAAATATAAAGTAGATCAATTAAATAACGCCATTCGTATCCGAAAGAAAACAATAAATGAGCCCGCATTAACTTTTGAATACTAAAAGTGTTTTATAAGTTTCGCGATACATGCAATGTGCATACTAGATAGTAATTTAAATATTTTATTCCGAGAACTTAAATTATTATGATTACAAATGAAAGTAAAGTTGAACAAAAAAGTCAAATTAATGTTTGAACGAAGAATTCGAACTTTCAGAAAAAGTGTTTATGCATTAAATAATACGTGGACTGGGTATTTATAAAAGTTTTATAAATGCACTTGTAGTATTTCCAAGTTAAATTGAATCGATAACCTTTTATAGGCATTTTTAAAATTCAAGCTTACGAACTATAATTATAAATGACCTTTAATTTATTCAATATCAATAAGGATATACCCTAAGCCATGTGACATATTTCAAATATACCGTTTCAGTTTTTCTGCCTCGAAATTAAGACATAAATAATAAGAACAAAAAATTAAAATATTTTATAATTATTTGCATTAATAAAATTGTACAAGACACTACCACGTGGATTGTTTACTCGATAGACCCAACTTTGGTGCTTAGGGTGATAGTCTCCTCCTATAATAAAATGTTTGATGTTATTGTTTATTGTTTCAAAGTAATTAAACAAATGTTTTGTGGCGATATTGTGTTTTGGGGGACAGTTAATTGTTGCTATAACCACTGGTATAGTGTTGAGTTGAATCGAGATAGCACATGATTGCAAGAAGTCTTAAGCAAAACTAGGCAATGGTTGGAATTGTAACTTAGATTTAATTATAATCACTACTTCTACGGGCTGTAGCGTCCGGTTGGTTAGTTTTAATTGAAATGTATCCGAGAATTTAAATTTTAGAATATTAAGTAAAGTGGTTTTTGGAGATTAAGGCTATACCGATTGGTTGATTATATAAACAATTTTGCAATTCTATAACATGATTTTTAAGACCATTTGCATTAAAGAGTAAAATGATAAGGGATTTTTGGATGGATCATTTTTTTATTTACATAATCGCTTCGATTTAACACTCTGAATTAAATTATTCTGTTTGTGTAGGAATGTACTTTTATGTTTAAAAATAAATCAAATAAAAAAATCTATTAATGTCTATATATTTACGAAATATTTAGAAGTGTTGTGTGAAAGCACTTTTGTATGGAACTTTTAAACCTTCGAAAGTTGTATGACACACAGAGAAGGCACCGTTTTAGCCATCTACAAAAGTTTGCCAACCGTACGTGAATATATTATCGTTTCTTTACGCTTGTAGGTAGCGTTTAGAAGTGAAATGATTTTCGGGCGTACGACGCGTGAACGTAGAGCCCTTCCATATATCTAAATAATACGAAACTAGGTCCCTGCAGAGACTTACAGAATTTCAGGTGATCCGAGTTCTAAAGTTCTAAGACTTGTAGTGATCAAATCGATCAATCCGTGATGCTAAACTCTTGATATACCTAGGTAAGAGTATGCCAATTTAAGGAACACCACGCGAATGAATTTTGGTCGAGTATATTACAACAGTTTATTGAATAAAAACAAACGATTCACCTGATTTTCCATTTATGTCCATGGCCTTGAGATTCCTGGCTTCTATAATGCCGAGTGTTAGATTGTTAGTCATCGGATTGTAGGACAACGATGTCAACAAATGGCCACACTTGTCCTTTAACGGCGCTGTAAGATCCTTCCAAAATACCGGTTTTGCTGTGAAATCAACCTAGAAGCCGAACAATCGTGTTTTGCATTAAATACACATAAATAATAACAATAAAAATTATGTGACTCCAAAATCGTCACTCGCGTATTGACTTAAAACGTTTTCCTTAATTTATTGTCTGTAAGGAAAGTAATGTATTTTTATTTAGTTATTCTTTTTTTCTTATAGTGAGATCAAAACTATAAAATGTTTCAAAACGAATTTCGGCAAAAAATCAAACGAATGACCTATTTTGAATACAATGCTGAATATAGGTTGTGCATATCATTTTCGGAAAGACTGTTTTTGAAAAAAAAACGAATAAATCTCATCTAACCGTGTACATCACAGAAACGAAAAAACTGCAAGCAAAATAAATCAATAGTTATGTATACGATAATATTTTTTATGGAAATCACGCTTTAATTGAGTCATATTCGTTTGTTTTATGAACTTAAACAGATACGGGCTGTTACAAAAGAACATTAATTTTAATTTCGTTAAAGAGGTCTTAATGTGTTTTACTAAGAACGTAAAACTCTATGGCTCAGTAAGGTTCAGGCATAAACATTTCAACTAGATCGCCGTTCCAGTAGACAATAATGAGATTAAATCGAATTTATTTGCGGATGCTTTGAAAGAACGACTAATTGCGTTAACGGCGTTTAAATTTTTATTAAAAATCGATGGTCCTTATGTGGAAGCTGTACGATAAAAATTTCGGAAATTCCGTGATATAGCCGTAAATTTCGTGCACCATCAAATAAACGTATTAATTTACGAACGGGTTTGTCGATCACGCTTTCACTAGAAAATTGTTAACATTTATGTAGCATTCGTATTTTGAACAACGAAACCGATGCGAATACCGATACGGATATTATCATGATAATACCTTTATGGTTTATAACCTTGTAACGAACACGAAAATTAGGCTTAGGTTGGGTTTCAGTATGTCCGATGATGTGTTTCGGGACAGCCAAGAATGAGACTTCAATAAGTGACGTTTGTATTTTATTAAACTCAAAGTTGAAAAACTATAATACTACTGTCGCGATATATGAGAAGTTGAATAATTGACTGAAAAAATCTATTTTTAATTATTTCCTCTGTTAAGTGACGATTATTTTTGTCAAAGACGTTCTTCGCATTTTCGTCCTCTTCGAGATACGAGTTTTAATTATCGCTAAACGAATAAATCGTTATTTAATAATTTGTCAGTTGTAGTGAAGTAAACACTGTAATGCAGTACTGTGAGAATTTTTATTGTTTTAAATTAAATACATGTACGTTATATGTACTTGCGATAAATTAATCAACGTGCTGTAAACTAAACAATAAATATGTGTGTAGTTGCTATTTTGTTCTCGATAGTACACACTTTCGCTAAATCAAAAATCTCTATCAACATAATTTTCAGCTCGGTTCCTTGAATTTCAAATCGTCGAGGGTAAATAATGATCTCACAACAATATCGAAAAATTGTTCGTGTGACGTAGTAATACGTCATTTTTTCGATATGGATACGTTTCACCTGATGTGCATGCGACGTACGTGTTATAATATATTAACGATTGATGTTTTGCTTACGTTGTTGAGCTCGATGTAAGTTTCTCCGATTGAATCGTCCCTTGAAAACCGATCGTAGTCGAACACGTGCAAGTGGAGCGTCCGATTGTGCAATTTTTGCATTGTAAAACCTGCAACATGACAACGCTGTTCATGAACAATACTCTGTGGGACAGCTGTTGTTCCGGTGATTTTTACGAGAAGCGATAAAAAGCAGAAATAAAACTCCATGAATAATTAAAAACCGTAAAACCTTGATGTCGGTCATCTATGTGTGGGTGGAGAAAACGGGTTGAATTGGGTTTGAGAAAACAGTGTGATGCGGGTGTTACACGACGGGTAGAGAAGGGGAAGGATAACAGGTGTAGAAATTTTTTTTTTTTTCATCCAGTTTATCCAGTCGATTTTAATAGGACATAAATTATTGTATTTATTCCTTTGAATTCTCGGCGTCGTGAAAAAATAAAAAAAAGTAATTAAATGAAAACGAACAAGCTGGGATCGGGATCGCGGTCGGTCGGAGAATAAAAAACGTATGACTAATAATGAATACTACTACTGACCCTGAAAGTAGAGTGTTTCGTTCCAGCGTGGGTTGAGGGTCCGGCGTTTTACTTTCGTGTCCAATCGATGCTTTTTGTCCGGCAGCAATGTCACTCGGACGTACGGATCGGACGTGCCACTCAAGTCCATTGCGGGCAAGTCTTTGGCCTGAAACACGACGCATTGTTCATCGTAACGAATCACATACAACAGGGTTAACACATTGAGAATGTTTGATGGTGGGTGTGATTACAACAATAAAACAGTAAAAAAAAAAAAAAAAATCCAATAGCTAACGAAACCAATTCTTTGTCGATTAATCTACGCGTAATGCCGTAGTATTGAATTGCGTATTATTTAATCGCTGTGAGTTTCTGTTGAACGTTTGCGCGTTGACGTAAGCATATAATTAAATTTATCTGTAAATATTACGCGACGGCGAACGAAATGCGTAGAACAATAAAAGCGCATTTACAGCGCTGTGGGTCAGTCTCGTTTGTGGTCACAACTACAATGATATCAGTGCGGTATTCATTGGTATCCGGTCACTATATGGTTAGAAAAAGCTAAAATGTTGGTTTGGAGTTAATAAAAAATCCCTATGTAGTTTTTGTGTTGCGGTGTGCAAATTACTAAAACTAATTAATTTCAATATTTAAAATGCGATTATGAATGGTGATAGTAATTATTAAGACAGTTCAGGCAAACCACTTAATAACCGTTATACTACAATTGTACACGAAATGACCAATGTCGATGTACAGACAATCCTCTCAGTATGCTTGGTTACATGTTGGTTATTATAAGTTATAAAAAAAAAAAAACTATTATTATTTGAACTCCGTGATGGTCGGTTGTAGTATTATTAATAATATTATTATTATTAGAAATTATTATTTTTATTATTTAATTAATTTATCAACAATCTCCGATTCTTATATTTTATGCAAGTCAGTAATCAACACTGTCAATAAGTCATATTTCAAAATATAAAACCTTCATTAATTGTGAGAAAATAAAAGCACGGTGTATATCAAAAAAAAAAAAGAAATAAATAAATAAAAATATCAGAATAAAGGCATTATAAATATTTCAAATGCTAAAAGCAAATTAAGTTATATTTAAAAACATAAATATACAATAGCACAGCGTTAATAATAAAATTGTTTTAATGTGTGTGTGAGCTTAGTTGGCGATGGAATACAAGTACAGTTGATTAATTAATTTGCGACGGAGATTAGTCTTAAATAATGGGTACTTAACTTACGGATGTATTACTTCCCCTACGAATACTGAAACGGAACTAGTGATGGTTAATTTAAAAATATAACGAGACTATTCTGTATATCACATACGGGGTTTCGCGCCAGAATTTACTAATCACTATGCGTATTCAAAATTAATCAATTTTTTTTTTTACTAGCATGGAATTACCACGTATACTATTAAAAAAGTATAAACGATTTGGTCAAATTTATTTATTTTTTTTATATGTTTTTCAGATATCAGTATTTTATAGAGTTTATTTTGTTGAACATTGTTACGACTCATCCACTTAATTTCATTAACTTACAGTTTAAATATATGTTTTTAATTTACAGAGCAATCACGTAGTTTAATATAATTTGTGTTCGGTTATCAGATACTTTATACTTTAAATTTTACTTTCCATAAATTCGTTTTTTGTTTAGAAGACACACAAGTATTAAAAATCGTTACGCAAATAAAATCAAACAGTTGAACTGTGAACATTAAAAATAAAAAAAGTAACTCCATATAAAATTACTATCATAACGTTTCACAGGTATTACTGTTTTAAAATGTATATTTCAAATATTGCATATTAATATTTGCACTACAGTTTTTATTCATAGATAAGTATATTACCTATATGATCATAAGAGTTATATGTATTAAGCTAGAATTTAAAAATATGAACAGGATATATTGTATTTAATAAATCCTCGTAGAACATCCTGTATAAATAACACGGTAAATTGTTAAAAAAATTATCTATGTAAGCCGAATAAATTGCTTGGTATTGGTATTAGGCTGTAAGACGAAATACTCACCATTAGTGAGGAGGATAAACTCAAAGGATTCCGTCCTTTTAATACGCATACAAAACGTATAACTATTTAATGGTATTATACATACCGGTATGCATGAATATACATAAGCTGTGGGGGTAAGTGCACGACCAGCCGATGATTTTTTGGCAAAGCACGACCTGTGGTTTTCATATTTTAAAATAACCCTTCGCTGCGGACGAAATTAATTACTTATAGCTGCGTAGAGTAACAAATACTATAAATATTTATAAAATGAAAACAAGGAAATTTCGGACACCAGAAAAAATGTAAAAAATGTTTAACTTAAAAAAAATCTTAAACATTTTCACCGGTATTCAAGAATGTCGTATTTTTAGTTTTCAAATTCAAACAAACTATTAAAATCTGGTCGGATATTAAAACGTAATGGATTTGTAGATGTGTCCGAAATTGTTACATTGACCGTTTTGTGTTTTTATCTTTTGTTTATATCGAAATACGGTTTACAGAATGCTAACTGAAACTGTACATAATTTTATATAGTTAACCGGTATAGGTACTAAAGAAAATTTAATATTCTCCTAGTAATAAATGGACCGCAACGAGTATCCCAATATTATTTTATATACACATAAAAAATGTGTAGGTCTGACGATCCACCAGAAAAGGTCACCAGTAAGGTCACTCGTTAAACTTAGGTCACATACATTTAACCGCAAACTGTTCATATGTTGTATGCAGTATAAACCGTTTATAATGGCATTCAAGGGACCAGTAAAAATTAGCCATAACGATCGACATCAATTTTAATCGAAATTTAAAAATTCGATAATTTCATAACGATTGCTGGAGTGCAAGACAAAAATCGTGATGCAAATGTTGTGGAAACTTTGTGTTTTTCTTCGAACATGTAGACGGTGTCGACGTGCATTTCTGAAACGCAATAGTTTGAACAGTTGCCCGAAAGTGAACGGGTATAATTTAGTTTCTTTTCCTTTTTAACTCGTACGCGTTTAAATAAGACATCACACTGCGTTTCACGCTTTCTGAGATTCGACGATATTATCTAACGATATTGTTAGACTTGCCGGCAGTGTTTAAAGTGGCATCGAAAAAAAAAAAAAAAATGGGAACTATTCTTTTTATAACGTTTTGAACGTTCCATACAATTCAGTGGTGCTGAACACACGAACCCATCTGGGGTTTTAATTGAACTGCCTAGAAAATTAGAATATTAAAAAATAATTAAAAAATGATCATCAACAAAATCAAATTAATTATTTTTTTGAATTACTTGAAAAATATTTTCTATTTAAAATACTATATTTATTTAAAGGTACTTAAAAAAAAAATGTTTGGATATTTGAAAGGGTGAAATATGAATTGGAAGGGTCAAGTGGATTAATGTAACTATTTGAATTGACTGTTTCAATATCAATCGATACCACTAGTATAATTAGTATAATTAATAATTATTTATACATACAAAAATATACTGTAAAAACTATTGTAATGTACATGATTAATATTTAACACGGGTCAGTTATTATAAAATAAAGATATCTTCTATATATCTATAACTAATTAGTAATTCTTAGTATGAAGGATTATTTTGATTACACAATTTAATTTTTTAGATAAATTTCTAAAGGGACGATTTTCAAGTACAATGGGTATTACAAGGAGGGGGAAAGGATTGAGACTACTGAGAGGACTAAATCCCGAATTTCCGGTGATTACTGCGGATCCTGCGAGATAACCACACGCAGTTCGAGTTGTATGAACGGTCGTGCACGGATATAACGATTGAATCTATATATATACATGCGTTACTAGAACTTACTCGGCCATCACACATTATTGGCGTAGTATTTGAATACACTAGCGGATCGATAATTCGAGAAGGGAAAATATCGGAACTCGGATTCTCACGCTTGAAAATATTGTTTTCGCGTTTCGTTCGCGTTTTAAAAGATAAATACTCGGATAAATATTCTGAAGTAAACCACGTTAAAACGATGATCCAGCCACAAATAAAAGATAATATCGTACAACGTCAGAAAATGAAAAATACGAATGGTTAACAATGACGAAACTTCGATCCGAGTTAAATATAGATTATAGCCCAACAGAAATTAAGCATTTTACATATTAGATGGCATATCTGATAGTGTACACTTTTGAACAGTTAAATGTGAAATGAGAAAAGACATTTCTAATAGCAACAATCGCGTTGTTGTAACTTTTCGATAACTTTTAGATAACGGGGGGGGGGGGGGACACATCCACACAAAGAAACTCGAAGGATTAAAATGAATACTACGCGAAAATCGATATCTTGTTTTGTTCTAGACCGCAAAGTCGCAATACCGTGAACAGGACGTCAAACGATTTAAAAATTGTACACAATGATGTAGATATCTTATAGATAAAAACGATATTTAAAAAAATCTTTTCAAAACTGAATATATAACACTGTGATATTAATGCGCCATCGATTATAATTTGTTCATGATAACAGTTTTTGAAATAATATGCAAAAGTTCGAGATGACGAGAACACGCTGTCAAGAATACATACTGTAATTATCCTTAATCGTTCCAGTGCTCAAGGCGTACCATACTGGAATAGGCGAGCATTTTGACTTGGACGGAACGCGACGGTTCTCTTACGCCACCGGGTGGTCGTATTAAATTTGGTGTGCTGTGCACGCAAAGATTAAAGTGTTGCGACAATGCATCGAGTACGTTCAATCAGCCCCGTGAACGATGGTGTTGATATTTTATCTTAACGGATTCTAATATTGATCGTTGTTCTCGGGTCGATTTTTATACTGGTTAAAATGCAATAATAATTTCTCATGAGCTCTCTCCTATTCCTCCTGTAAATATTCTTTCAGCATATTACCGCTACAATACTATAGGTACCTACGGAGAATTATTTATTTATTTCTAATTGCACGTATAATCAGCTATAGTAATCTTTCTTCAACCAAACAAGAAATCGTAGTATTTTAGGAGTTTACTCTGTGAAACTCCTCTTACTCTCATACACACACACACACACACACACACGTATACCCAGTAACTTATTGATATATTCGTTATAGTTTTATAG